GGGGGGGGGGGTGTCACAGCCCGGGGTCCCCTTGGTCACTGGACTGGCGTTGTCCTCTTCCAGCCCTGTGCCGGGGGCTGCCGCCCACCCGGGACCCCCCGGGGCAGCCACCCCGGGCTCCAGCCAGCCCCTGAGGCTTCGCTGCACCTCCTGGCTTGATGGCACCTGCAAGATGTAACCTGAAATAATTTTTTATGAGAAAAAGTAATTTATGAGCAATAAAATCCCCACCCCCACCCCACCCCTCCCACCCCCTGTGTTTTCCTTGGCTGGAGGCATCTGCCTGACCCCGGAGCATCGCTGGTCTCCATCCCGAGCAGCCCTGGTCCCAGCCCCGGGCTGATGCACAGCGTCCGGCCCGCACCGGGCAAGAGCTGGCAGCTGCCTGCGTGCCGGGCAATGATCTGGGCAGGAAACGGCTTAAGATATTTTAAAAACTTTATTATTGGCCCGATGATATTTGACACACATGCTGGGAGCTGTATGGAAATCAGCACTGATAAAAAATACAGCAATTATGACCCGTATTGATAAAATAGACAATGTAATAATAGCCTTTCTATTAAAAAAAATATCCAAGACACAGCTCTGTCCTCATGCTGCCCTCCAGAGGCAGGGACCTGCGGCGCCATAGACCAAACCCGGGCTGCTGGGGGGCTTGGGGGGGAAGGGAGGAACGAGAGTGGGGGGCCAGGACCAGCATCCCACCGCCCTGGGTGCGAGGGGAGGAGTGGGGGACCCCGGGGGGTGGGGGTCGAGGAACACCCCCCCCCTTGCAGTGCCGAGCAAGCCCCCCACAATGCAGGCAGGGTGGGGGGCACAGGGCAGGGGTGGCAGCAGGGTGGGGGCATCCCTGGGAGCCCACCACCCCCCCCGCCAGTGCATCCCACTCCTGCACAGGCAGCATCCCACCAGCACTGGTGGGTGCTGCGCCCCATGCTATTGGCCACCCTAGGGGGCGCTGGCCCCCCCCAGCTGCAAAGTGTAAGCGAAGAGCTTGCAAGAGAGGTGGGGGGGATGCTACAGGCCAGGTTGGAGCTTAAATAAAACACTTAAATAAAGCAATAATTGCCATCAGTGACTTGCTAACTGGGTGCCGTGGGAGAAGCAACCAGCAGCTGGGGGGGGTGGTACGGGGCAGGCAAGCCGCCCTGGATTTTGGGGCTGAAGCTGGGGTCCCCTTGGGACCCTGGCTGTTGCCTGGTGGGGGGGCACAGCCCCCTTGCCCCCTACAACAGCCTCCTGACCGCCAAGAGGGCCCCGGCTGGGAACACAGCTCCAGGCTGGGCTGGCCATGAGGGTGGGAGAAAGCTGGGCGAGTACGGTAACGCCAGGGTCCGGCACCAGGCTGGACCCCGAGCAGTGCCAGAGCTGTGCCAAGCCGGGGACGGGCTCGTCCCACAGCACCATGCCCCGGTGTGGAGCAGAAACCCCCGGCACCAGCCTCATCCCCATGTGGGTGCATGTGCGTTTGCATGTTTATGCGTGTGTGTGTCCACACATGAGTACGTGTGCCCTCGCCCCATGTGCACGGGGCGGCAGGAGACCGCCGGGGCTGCAGGACATGGGGTGGGGGGCC